GGCTAATATGAAACAAAGTATGCAGCATTTTTAATATTGAACAAATAAAATATAAAGGAAAATATATTAAGCAACACTATCAGAAATTAAAGAAAGTACATAATTAATAAGTAGAGGTGGAGAAGCACTTTCCTCTCAGAAGATCAAAGATCAATGAGACAAAAAAATGAACAGAGAAATGAAAGCTTTAAACCAGATGACTGGTAAATTCCAGATATCATACCATTTATATAATATTTCAAAATATGCTATATACATTATTATGTACATTTGTAGAAAACATTATAAATACATAATAAACTATATTTTAAAATGTTTCCAATTTTAGAAAATATATATTTGTTTGTTTAAAAATGTTTTCAACTATATAAATGTATTAGTATTTAACAAAACACATTATTTATAAATATATATAATCTATGTATGTGTACACACACATATATAACACTCAACATAAATAAAACAGGTAACATGCATTCTTTCAAATACATAAAAAATATTTACAAAAGTAAATCTTGTATGAAAACATAAAAGGAGCTTGAATAAATTCCAAAGAAGTAATATAATACAGAATATATTCTCAAACATAATGCAATAAAATAAAAAATGCATAAGAGAAGTAAAGCTAACATGTTTTGAAATTAAACATGTATTATTATATTTTTATAAATTATTAAACATTTAATGATATATGTTACAATAACATAAACACTACATATCAAATTAATACACCATAGCTGAAGTTAAAGGCAAAAATAATAGTCTTAAATATATTTGTTGGAAAATATAAAAAGTTAAAAATAAATGAGGTTAACATTCAATTCAAGTAGATAAAAAGTGAGAACAAAGTAAGTTCAAAGAAATATAAAAGAGAAAAGAGGGCTAAAGTGAACTAAATGGATTACAAAATGGAAATGGGGCTATGGCATAGCCTAAGGGTTAAGGGAGCCAGCTTAGTGACTTGAAAACATGCCAGGAGCGTGTGTATGCGTGTCCGAAATCCCCAGAGGAGGGAGAAATGGAGAAGAGGATTGCAATGTGACCATGCCCTATGGGAGGGGGAGGGTAGCTTTCTTCTCTTCCTCTCTCTGGCGAGTACACACAACTTCTGGAGAAAGAGAAAGAAAGAAAGAGAAAGAAAGAAAAAGAAAGAAAGAAAGAAAGAAGGAAGGAAGGAAGGAAGGAAGGAAGGAAGGAAGGAAGGAAGGAAGGAAGGAGCAGAATCGATTAAGTATTAGATCTCATGAGATAGTTTTGTAAGGATGCCAGATACAAGATCACTTGACAAAAATCAAAAGTAGTTTTCCATAGGAATAATAATTTATAAAAATCTAATCAAAACAAAATAATATTTGTTACAGAAACAAAATCTATAGAGTTTCTAGAATAAATGAATTTTTCCTAGACTCTCAGGAGAAACTTTTAAATTTAAAAAATTTGAAATGATGTAGGTGATCTGAATAAATAGAAATAATCCTCGATCTTATGTAAGACAGTAATATTATAAAAATCTCAATTTCTCTCAAATTAAAAAGTCTCTAAATGTGATAGTAAATACAACGGTGGTTTAATTTTTTTAAAGAATGTGATAAATTTACCCTTAAATTATACAAAAAAAATTAAGTTGCATGACTAGCTGTCGGCCATGAAAAAGGAAAAGTAAAAAGAGGAAACTTAATCTATCACACATTCAGTAATATGACTGATAACCGAGTGGTGCTGATGCAAGAACTGGTAAGTGGAAGGATGGAACAGATGAATGAGTTCCGAGCATATCCGTGTAGATTCAGGAATTTACACCACAAATCAGTGAAGAAAAGGACCCATTATTTGTTAGACATCCTTGAGGAAACTGGCAAATATATTAAATAATAAAAAATGAACCAAAAAGCTGTATCCCTATCTAACAATACTCAAAGATGAATTCCAGATGGATTCAAATTGTATATATGAAAAATACAATTATTAAGTTAATAGCAAAAAATACAGATGACTATGTGACCTTGGGGTGAAGATGCGCAAGTCACAAGGCAAAAGAATCATCGTCATAATTTTTTTGAGAGGTTTTTGCTATAGGGTGCGTGCGCTCACTCGCCAGAAAGACACAGAGAGATAGAAAGCGAGAAATCACCCCCCGGGGGATGGCCAGGCCACAATCCCTTCTCCTCCATTCTCCTCTTGGAATCTTGGGCACACACGCACACACACCCGGTATGAGTTTAAGTCACTGGGTCCAGGACTTGAATCACGGTCGACTACATGGGAGTTCAGCATTATAGCCATTACACTAACTGCTGGTCCACCATAATAATAATTTGATTACATCAAGAGATTGAGAAATTCTAGTCAATGAATGACATTATGGTAAAAATTCTCAAGCAGGGGCCAGCGGGTGGTGTGGTGGTTAAGGGCGGACTCCCGCACGGCAGACCATGGTTTTCTTAGACCTGGTGGCTCAAAGGTTACATTGGGTGCTTATGTGTATGTGCCAAAAATTTATTTTTTTTTGAGAGGTTTTTCACTATAGGGCGCGTGCGCTCGCCAGACAGACAGAGAGAGACATAGAGACAGAAAGCGAGAAATCACCCCCCAGGGGGGATGGTCACGCCGCAATCCCTTCTCCTCCATTCTCCTCTTGGGATCTTGGGCACGCACGCACATGCGCCCGGCGTGAGTTTTAAGCCACCGGGTCCGGGATGTGAACCGCGGTCGACCACGTGGGAGTCCAGCGACATAGCCATTACGCTAACTGCTGGTTCCCTGTGCCAAAATTTTGAGAGGAGAATGGAGGACAAAGAATTGTGGCATGGCCATTCCTCAGGGAGGATGATTTCTCACTTTCTCTTTCTCTGTCTCTCTCCGGTGAGTGCACACGCCCCATGGCAAAAACCTAAAAAAAAAAAAGACAAGGCAACAGAATGGGGAAAATTAATTGAAAATGAGTAAGATTGGGTCTGCAGGTGGTGTGGAACTTAAGGGGCTGGATCCCACATGGCTGACTTCGTGATTTGAGTCTTGCACCCAGTGGCTTTCACATGGCTGTCTTCGTGATTTGAGTCTTGCACCCAGTGGCTTGAAAAAAAATCATATGGGGCACATGTGCGTGTCTGCCCAAATTCCCAGGAGGAAAGTGAAAGGGAAGAGAATGTGGCATAGCCATCCCCCCATTTCCCTGGGCGGGTGGTGATTTCTCAATTTCCCTCACTTTCTCTGTGTCTGCCTCTAGGAAGCTCATGTGCTCTATAGCAAAATGGGGGGAAGGGGAAGAGAAAGAAAGAAAAAGCAAGCAAGCAGTCGACTAAAGCTCACATGGTAATACCATGTATAATAATAATCATAATACCAGGAACCAATGCTAATCCACAAGAAAAGGACTAGACTTCCCATGGAAAATGGATCAAGAACGTGAAAGGCAGTTTATAGAAGGAGAAATATAAAGGCATGGGAGTCATGTCTACACTGGCTAAAAATCAAAGAAATGTCAATGAAAATGTCCATCCAATGCTACTTCCCCCTAAAGTGCTCAGTGTTGGCAGGGATGGTGTCCCATTGGTGAGAGGACAGGTGTTCCTCTCTCCCAGCAGCTCCCAGATGTGACGAGGATCTATTGGGCTGCAGAGCCAATAGCATCTTCAGGATCAGCCAAGACGTCACAACTGAGGAAATGAGGCTCAGGGATTGCATAGAACCTGGCCAATCACTTAGGAGCAGAGATAGGGCAAGACCAGGCCTTCGATGGCTATGTCCTAAGAGTGCTTTC